CTAAGTTTTCTTAGAAATGATTCTGGAATTCTTTTAACAAATGCATTTTGTAGAGCAAACATTTTTCTACAAAATTAGATGTTTTACAGCTCTGAGAGAATCGTGATAACTGATTTATAGCAATTCTTCCGGATGCCTCGACACCAGTTAAAAAATGCCTACTTAAAACGAGACACTTTTCATTTATATTTTCAAAAGGTGCAGAGGTAAGATGATCTCTGTTAAAAAAATCTGGATAATGTAAATTGCTACTGACGAGGGAACATCATCAACTGCTCCCTCGCTTTTTTAATCAAAATCATATGGTTATAGGTTGTCGACGGTGCTGATCCTGAATATGACCATGGAGGCGGTAGGTCTTCGGAGACACGGTTTTTCAGAAAAAGGGTTTTCTATGGCGAAAACCTTTTTTTACTAAAAAGGATTTTTGATCTATTCAGATTGAAGGACATATCGAGTTTTCTATAAAATACTCATTTTTCTCGTTATACACCGATTATAGAACGTCTTACAGCCATTAAGAGTTTTTAAGCACAAAGCTTTGAAGTGAGTGTGCAAGCGCAATTTTGTTATCACCCTATTACCAAAGTATATCACCTTTTCAACTGCTGACAATTAAAACGAAAGCTGAGTATCAAAAAACTATACAAATACGAGGTAAAAAATTAGTTAGGTTAGGCAGAAACCGTTTGGTGCGATTCATTCCTTGATATTAGGTGTTTGTGGATGATAAGAGTTACTGCTACTACATATTACTTATTTCACAAGTTTTATTTCCCTTCTGTATGTGCAAGTTTTGATTTTCTCTCTCCACCTAGGATGAGCTCTTCCGGCTGAGAAAGTTAAATATGGCTTAAATGTCATGGCCAACGACCCTAAAAATCCTGGTATCGTAATAACTTTAGATGATTTACTAATGCAGACAACTGCACTTATCATAAAATCACAAGTATTAGTATACCATCCTCTACAATCGGTTTATAACGAGAAAAATGAGTGGTTCATAGACAACTGGATATGCCCTTCAATCTGGACAGATCAAAAATCGTTTTTAGTAAAAAAAGATTTTCACCACAGAAAAAAGTTTTTCTGTAAAACTGTGTCTCCGATGGCCTAACTGCCGCTCTCGTGGTCAGGATCAGCACCGTCGACAGCCTATAACTATATGGTTTTCGTTAAAAAAACTAGGGGTTAGTTGATGATGTTCCCTTATGAGATGAAAAAGTTTCATCGAAGATTTTCTTCATCGACCCTCCCTCCTCTCAGGCATTTTCGAAAAAACAATTTTGTTAGAAAAACTTAAGTTTTGGCATATTTATGTTTGCAAGCATTAGCAATCTATATCAAATTTGATTTAAAACGTTTCTCAAGAAAAGAAATTGAATATAAATCTCTCATTCCGTCTACTGATAACGAAACTTAAGATCTCTTGGTTGACTATAAAAAGAGTATCGTTTGTTTTCTCTGTTAAAATGAGTTCTTAAGCTAAAATCAACACATAATTTTTTTCATTTTATTCATTTGTATACTTGTGACTTAGATTCTTGTCTTTTTTGATAGCCATTGCCAGGTAGATTATATCGGTTTATTGACGTATCAGAGCCACATTTATTTACTGACGTTTTTTCCTCGTATAGTGAAACATGATTTTTTTTTAATGAATCTAAAGGCTTACATTTATCTATTTTGTCTACTCTGCTTGCTGCATTCGGCAGATGCTATTTGTGCTGAAAATGATTATGTTTTAAGCGCATCTGCAAACAACTTACAGTTTTGTTCAGAAATTATTCAAGAAAAGCCAAGTATTGTTTCCGTATGGTTTACAATTGGTTTTAATTTAACACAACATTTTGGTTATTTTTGCTTTACGTTGGTTACCATTAGTGTCGCCAGCGGAAACAAGGAAACAATGGAAAGCAATTTTCACCGCGTAAACATTACCGACTATACAGAACTCACTGATACGAACAATAGTTTAACTATTAAAGAATTAAATCCTGGTCAGCATGAGATTTGTGTTCAGTTTTTAGATCGAGTAACAATGTTCATCTATGTGCCACGTGATGGATGTCTCAGGATACAAGTGGGAATTATTCCTCCTTCATTTAAACAGGATTCTACATCACAATTTATTATTTTAACTGGTACAATTGTTCTCTTTTTTATAATGGGTCTTCTTGTACAAAATCACAAAAGTAGGCGAGATCGAAAGCAGCATGAGTTGGAATTTGACGATGAGACCGATACACGAACGCGATCATATACAAATGCATCAACTTTATCGAAACGAACTAATTTTCTCAAAAACTTATTTCATAAACATATTGATCAACCAGAATTGACGAAAGTGCAATTATGGGCAAAGTCGAGATATCGGCATCGTTTATCAGCAGATATTTCTCCTCAACGAGAATTAAATAATACAAGAAGTCGAAAACACCATCGCTCACATCAAGTAAATATCCCGACCATAAGTGATGGTCAACATAGTACATCATTGTCATCGCGTTACTCTATTGAGTCAGAGAGCGATAATAAAAATAGAATAACATTCGCTCCATTGTCACCAATAACAGAGTTTGAGAATGAAAGCGAGAGGGTGTAACACAGAACTAATCCAACAATGAATTCTCGTTTCAAAAATTCGCATTGATTTCTTAGATATTTTATAATCTGTTGTATTAACGACGAAAATGCATACGCATAACATTTTATCCGAGAAACAAATTAACGAGATATAATCGAGTTTCTAGACAAATTTGTTTATATCTCTTCTCCCACATAACTCACACTTGTCTATTTGACTTTTATTTGCTTTGTTGAGAAAAGCTTTCATACACAAATATTATGATTCTTTTCACTGAGAGATATTAGGTCATACGTCTAATAGTCGAATTTAGAGAATTGTACAATAAATTCAGTCTTTCATCATTCGAACCTATCATTTTTAATAATCCCTACAGATATTGAACAATATCTTAAGTGTCATCGACCACGGAAAAAACCTGCTTGTTATTAATAATATCGAGTGTTAAATCTATTTGTCATATATGATTCAAAAGTCAAATTGAAGGTGCTGATTTTTCCCTCACTAATGATACTTGATATTTTGTTTTATTTTCATGAAGCTATTTCAATTTCCAATTTAAAGGAAAACTATTGTTTCGAAAAGTTCTGTAAGTGGAAACTAGTCTGGAGCTTTCTCAACCATATTACGAGAAAACCTTATCTTTATTTGTAAAAAGAAGAAAAAGAAAAGAATTCAAAGAAGTCAAAATGATGTCATGGGTCTATTCCTCTTTCTTTTTGCTGTTCTGTATTTATTCAATGAAAATTCTTTTCTTTTTCTTCTTTTTACAAATAAAGCTTAAACTAAACTTATCTTAGTTCCATATATTACATACACTTTCAAGGATTCGCTCCTAATTTTACGTCGATGTCGATAACATCTTTTACTTGATATTTCTGAATACTATATATTGATTTTATGGTTACATAGTGTGTCTGCTTATGCGAGCAGAGTTTTCGATTGTTCTTAGAGATCGGAGCTAAAAATTTTGCTTCGCAGAAAGTGGCTGACGAAAAACGTTTTCGAAAATTTTGGCAGAAAGTTGTCTGTGGAAAAACGTCAAAGATTTTGCCGGAAAGTCCAAAAATTTGTTTAGGGAGAAGCCAGCTCCCCTCTGCCCTCACTGATCGGGAATCCTGCACGCGAGCTAAATTGTCTAAAATCTAGTGTGGACTCCATAAAATCAGCCTAATATTCTTTCGTATTATATAGCGCCGTTTTCAGTATATTTTAACTGATCACATCAAGCAAATATGCCGAATAATTTTTATACGTAACTTTGCGTGTGGCTCAGACGAAACTAAACTAAAATATAAGTAATAATAAAGTGAAAACAAATGCGTTTCAATTTTAAATGCAATAAGCAATCATAGAAAGTATGCGAACAAAGATCTTTTCATGATTAGAGAGAGGTGTCTGCAAAGAAAAACTCATACGAACAAGATTTTAACTATCCGTTTCGTCATTTACACATGTTTGAACATTATTTCAGACGAAACTTAGACTTCATGAGATTCTGAACACATTTTATAAAAAAAGATCATTATACTACCGTAGTAAACATTTTCTTAAGTACCTGATATGAGCGTAAATCAAGATTTGTCTCCAAGTGTATAAAGTTCCGAATCATGTAAAAAACCGAGAGACTGTCATTGATTACCTTGGAATATATGCATGAGATCCTCCAGTATGAGCTGGATTTTTAATTTATGCGAATGTCATTTTAAGTATGAGCCAAGAAAGTCATAAACTGAGTTAATAATCTTGCGTTTAAAATGATCCTACTCTATAAAAAAAAGATAATCTATCGAACTTAAAAAGGGTTTAAACTTTTGTCACCATCTATAAACCTTTTTAAGGTTACTTACAAACTATATACCTTTTTACGGTTTTGTCAGCACCCTAAATCCGTGACTAGGAAACACTTAGTTCGACTAAGGAAACACTCCCATGCAGGTTTTTCCCACTGACGGATTTAGGGTGCTGTACGAAACCTTTAAAAGGTTTATAGATGGTGACAAAAGGTTAAACTCTTTTTAAGTTCGGTAAAGTAACCTTTTTATAGAGAGTAGGTTCACTTTCAGGGTCAACTAAACTATGTTTCACTAAGGTTTTCTTAGCACTATGATTGCAATCATATTCTAAAGTTTTTATCGAATTATGTTATATTTATTATCGGAAACACTTGAATTTTCTAAGAAAGAATATCATTTTTAACGCTCATAACGGGTTGACAATTCAATTTTATGACAAGAGAACAGTAGAAACAATTCTTTCTTTTGAATTCTCACCCTATATAAAATTTCTGTGTGTTTATTCTGATTCATACAAAGTGACTCATTTTTTATATCATCAGAACATGAAAACGATTTTTCTGAAGAACAGTGTAAACCTGGCCAAAATTATCCATACGTTTTTATTTTTAATTTTTTTCATCAACCATGAAAGCTAAAAAACTCACGAGCTTCTCGTGACATACACTTTTTTCATCACACTACTTTTCGTTTATGAAAGCCTCCAGTCCGTCAATACAAGCAAAATTGACAGAAAAACAAAAAAAAAAAATGTCTAATTGGGCTTTAGAAAATTAAATGCAATTTGATGAAAAAATGTCATGGGGAGCTGACAGACATCTCATTTTGATCAGAAGTATTCAGTTCGGTGAAATTGTTCAAAAAAAGTTTCAAATCGAAATGCAGGAATTTAGTTTTCTCAGAGATCCAGCAATTCCGATAACGTTTTTATACGCATCTCTGAGAATTGGAAACTTCTTCAGCTACTCAAATAAATTTTCAGATTTGTTTTAGCTATCACGATCAAGGAAAAAAATGAAAAATAAAGATATACAGATAGTTTTAGCCTGTATTGTATACCTGTAAACCACTTTCTTAAATTTTTCAAATCCTGATAGCTAACAATTTAATTGGTCAAGCTACGACAGTAGCATAGGATAGCAAAAAAAGTTTAGCTTTTCATATTCTTGGCCTCCTCTATCTGTCATAAAAGCGAGCAAGAAAAAAAAATAGACCGTCATTTAGCAAATACATTGGAAAACCGCGCAGTTTCTCTAAAAGAACATCGATTTAAGATACAAAAATGTTTTTTTTCAAACTTTAATATCTTTGATTTTACGGTGAAACTAAGTTGTTTAAGTTCATTGCAGTCATTTGGCTGTATCTATCATAATTTTCCCAAATGGACGGCTTATGGTAACACTAGTCATACTCACAGCAAATTAATTAGAGATAGTTCAACGTTAATGAATTTTTCGAATGTGTATAGTTCAAATCGGTACAGAAATTTTATGTGGCTGCTGAACATATGGTGATAAGGATGACGCATATTATCTGTATTTCCTTATTTTCTTGAACAAATATTTCTCACAATACATCGATAGAAAAATTAGTTTTTCCCTCTATATTCTTTCTTTGCTATGTCATTTTGACAAATTCTATCTAAAAAGAAAATCAAATATGGTTTTTATTATAATCAGAGAGAACACGTCAAAATAGCTGTAAACAGGATTTTACTGTTTCCGGTTGTTTTCATGGATTAGAGATAGAGGCTAACATCCGATAATAATAATTTACAAGTGAAGAAGAGCACACAAGGTAATCTTAATAGTTCGATGATGATAAAGGTTTGACCACTCTTACATTGATATTGATATTTGCTCATTTTTCTAATGAGTGAGTATAGTTGAAAACTAGAATTACTGAATGAAATTGCCAAAGTAAATATAAAAATATGTTGTTTTCAGTCTCTCTAATAACTTTTGAGCCACTTATTAAAGCTTAAAATTGAGTTTTATAAGTTCGTGTCATCATTCTAAAGAATCATAGAAGTTGTTTTCTTTTTGTGTACGTGGTACATCCCTACAATCTCATGAGAATTTCTTTCATTTATCACTCATAAACAACAAATTTTATGTAATTTTTAATCGTAAGCGAATAAAGAAGAAAAACATTAATCGACAAGTTTTTTTCGGATTAACATTTCCCACTAGTGTACGGTCAGCTCGATCTGAACAGATGAATCAGCTATGCAATTTTATCAGGACTAAATGAAAGGCGGAATCAGCTCCGAAAAACTAATAATTACTTTCCATAAAAAGTTTTCTTTACCTGTTCATTGAATCAGAATTGAATATTCTTGTCAACGATTCTTGAATATTACGGCCGACTGATGCTGAGGACTTCGAGAATACGCTTGACAGCTTCCTATTCAAGGTAATGCTATTCTTAAATATTTATCATAGTCAAATCTATCTAATTTTTGTATTATTCTACATTTTTCTCAGAGTTTAGAAATGTTGGTTATTTACATGATCGTTGACTATTGTATGTATATCTATGCTTTCAAACGAAAACACTTTTCTATCGTGTGAGCTGTCTAAAGATAAGGTGTTCGAAATTCGAAAATTCAGCAGGTTATTATTTTTGCATCTTTTTATACATGATTGGATAGAGCGCGTAGAGTTGATTCAGAAAATATGTATTTTAATGTTTAATGAAAAATTGAAAATACTTGAAGGGTCTAAAATTTCAAAAAACCCTTTAGTTTTAGAAAAATTCAAATTTTTTTCTTTTCGTTCTTCTAACTTTTTGAAACTGTTTTTTTCATATTCAGTATCAAAAACTGACTATGAGAATGATACTTGATCGAGGCTGAAGTCAAAGGTCTATCCAGTATGAATGTCTTGGTCTCTCCTTGTGAAAAGTCCAAAAACAATTTTGTAAACCTATCTAGTAGAAGAGATGAACCCGAGATTTTTACTTCATTAGAATAGCCATTGCACGCGTTTTATATATTTAAGTATAAATCGCGTTTGTTAATGTTTCGTCACCGAGAAAATTCATTTTTTCTAGATCAGAAGTGAAAAAAGTCGGAATTCTGCAAGTGCTTCTCAATTGTTTCCATCAGAACTCAGTTTGTATACAATAAAAATATCATAGTCAGAACCAACGTCAAAAACACAGTCGAATAATATATTCTTTTATGCTATCCGACTATTTTCAGTTTTTTGGACATTTTCACATCCAAAAACTACTGCGATTTTCACCAAAAATGAAAATCGACAAAAAGATCTTGAACTATATATCGTTCGACTCAGTTTTTGACGTTGCTGCTGAACATGATATTTTTGTTGTATACAAACTGAGTTCTGATGGAGACAATTGAGAAGCACTTGCAGAATTTCGACTTTTTCCACTTCTAATCTAGAAAAAATGAATTTTCTCAGTGACGAAACATTAACAAATGCGATTTATACTTTTAAAACGCGTGCAATGGCTATTCTAATGAAGTAAAAATCTCAGCTTCATCAACTCTTTACAAAACACGCTACATCTCGAAATATAAGGCAGGTGGCTGTTTTTCGAATAACTCAAAGTCGACAACAGATTGAATTCTGCGGTTTTTGCCAAACGATAGAGGACAGATTGACTTATGTTTTCAAAAGCAAAACTGATTCTCAAGAAAATTCATAACTCATTCAAAATACATCAGACGAGTTCAGGATGTGCAACATCTGAACTATTTTATATTCTGCTTATAAGAGATCTACAAAAAAGAAGCTGAAGAGCTTTGTGGTTTTTTGTAAAGACTTCTAGAAAACCGATGAATAAATATTGGTTTTTCAAATTTGTCGCTATCATAATGACGTCTAGCTGACAGAATTGACCATATCCTGAAGTTTCCAATTGGCTTTGATGTATTTACGCCCGAACCAAGCAAAATCAGACTTTTGCCTAGACCTTATTTTGTGAAAGGCACTTCGATCTATCTATCTATGCAAAAAGATCGATAGATTACCATGTATAACGTTTTAGTTATAAACTGGTTTTCCACTCTAAAAAAGCAGGGTTGGAAATTTTCTCGAGAGTCCGTTTTGCTCTTGAAAACGTAGGTCAACCTGTTCTCTATCGTTTGGCGAAAGCCGCAGGTCTCAATCTTTTGTCGTCTTTAAGCTATTCGAAAAACAACTATCTGCCCTATATTTTGGGATGGATATTAGATAGGTTTACAAAATTGTTGATGAACTTTTCACAAGGAGACACCAAGACGTCCATACTGGGTAGACCTTTGATTTCAATACTCAGTTTTGATATTGAATATGAAAAAACCACTTCCAAAAAGTAAGAAGAACGAAAAAGAATAAATCTTATATATAACTAAAAGATTTATTAGTGCTCAATAATGTGAGCATAAATTGATCACATATTCGGGTCACAGTTCGGAAAGGATGAATTTTTTATTTTATGACTTTGAAATAAAAAAAGTGATTATTATATATTATATATTCATCAGAACTTGTATCCATGGCAAGTGCATATGGTGTTTTTATGAGAAGTCTAATTCTACAAGTTGCAGTTAACGTGATTAAAACTACAATCGCGCACACACTTTTTTTAATTAAAAAAAGAATTTTTCTCGAGAAAATCCGTTCGCTATTTTTTCTTCTTCATCAACATCAAAAAGAAAAAAATTAGCTTTCTCAGATCTTTCTTTTAGATTTTTTTTTGTAAAAAGTTTTCTGATTAATATTTTCTCAAAGATTGATCGATCGGCCTAATATATTGTTCGTTGGCCGAACACAATCGGTTAAAGTAAAAATTCCGTTTTCGTTAGAGAGGTTTTTGCTAAAAATGACCAATTTTTTTAAAGATAAATAGTCATTTTCTGGAAAAAATATATCGCTAGTCGGGCGAACTGAAACATGTTTTTTCTAGACGACAGACTCATTTTTATCTGTAGAGGTAGGAGTCAACTGACATTATCGATTGTAAAGAAAAATGCTTGAAAGTCATGAATGCATATGAACCTTTTGCGAGTGACGGAAAGTGATTTATACGGAAATAGTAGTGTGGGTTATTAACGTCCATTTCATTACTTTTCTAAGTTTTCGGGCAGTAACGGGTAATTTAGATTTAATTGCCGGTTTTTAATAGGCTTTTTTCTCAAGTTAGACTCAACCAGAAAGTTTGGTTCTGATGCTAAAAGATAGAGAATTTTGTGTAGATTTTATTGATATATTCTTTTTTAAATAAACATGTACCGTTCTTTTGTAGTATTAAAAGTATGGATCCCACAAAAATATCACTTGCTCAACTACAAAGTCGGAAACGTGTAAAAATCAACTTTGCCCAGCTAAACTGAATTCAAAAATTCCTTTCTTGTACTAAGAGATGTAGAATTTTTCGGGGTATTTCGTGGTGTGTTTGGTTTGATAAGCTTAGATACTTCTCCTTCGAAAACTACAAAACATCAAAAAGACGTTCACGGGCCATGATATCCTACTTTTCTTTAGCAATTTGGCTTTACAAAAATATCCTTTTTATACAGAATTTAATTAAAATACAGATTTTAATAACGCATACAGATGCAGAATTTAAAGCTCTACAAAATGCTCTTCTTTTATAAGGGTTGACTTCTTTTCTAACCCAATTAGGAGCGTCCCGATACCTCGGAGGCAGGGGAGAGAAGCGGAGTAAATTTAGGAGTAAATTTTTATGCTTTTAAAAATTGGAGTAAAACTAAAAACGAAGAAGATAAATATTCTAAGCAGTCTTCTTCTAAAGCAAGACTGAATTTCCTTCTATCTAACGCTATTTACTTCAACACAAAGCCTTCTAATATAAAAGTACATTTACTGAAGCCATGATACAGTCTATTCTACTTATCTTATCTTGTTTATGTAATTCAGATGTAGAATTTTATGCTGAATCCGAATATAAAATTAGAAAAATTACAAAAGCTCAAACGTTTTTGAAAACCGGCCAAAACTGATGAAAATCGTGTTTTCTGACGGTATTCGCCCTAGATGACTCAGACAGAAACCCAGTCACCTCGTCAATTTTTTATCCAATATGGAACTTTTTACGCTCTATCCACTGGTGCTAAAAAAGAACAGAAAACACTTGTACAACCGGGCAGAAAAGGTGATTTTAGTGATTTTCAGCAGGTTTTCGGTGGTATTTCCTAAACTTCGCCACTAAAACAGCATTTCAGACAAAAGCGAAGGTCATATTTGGAATGTACGTAAGAAGTAGGGCCGAATAGCATATATCTCATGTGTTTTCTATTATTATCACTTTTCACCAAAAAATTCGCTTGGGAAAATGGGAAAACTATTTTTTGTATACTGCCGTTTTACCTGCTGGTTTGGCCTAAACTGTCAAAATAAGTCATCTCAAGTGGCAATCCTCAAAACTGAGTTTTAAGAAAATTGATTTTTCCCTCCAAAACGGTCGTGGAATGCTGGAAGCGGTCTTATTCTGTAGTCCAGACATTCCTCCACATTAGCTAAATTCAAAATCGAAAAATTTTTGAGAAGGAGGGGGTATCTTTAATACATTTGTTATAATGCACACAGCATCTCGCTACTTTTTTGAAAGAATGAGACACCACATTCGCGGTTTGTGTCTATTCGTAAGGATAGAGGGTTAACACAGTCGATAAAACCTCATTAGTTTTCGGATATAAACTTCAACTCCTCAATTCTTCTGGTTCTTAGAAAGAATTTTACAACACAAATACTAAAGTTTATTCCATAGAGTCAAACATTTCTTGCGTTCAAAATTGTCTAACTCATTATAAGAAGTATCGCAAGTTAAAGGTAGCACGTTCTACGTTTATTGAAACACTCACTCAGCTGTTTTGATATCCTATGCTAGACGTAGAATAATTGTTCTTTTTCCACAATAAACTGGAAGTAAATCATCTCTAGAAGAAATCATACGAGATTCACCAAGAATGACTTGCACTTATCTCTTTTAATTTAAATTTTATTCATCTAGAGGAGACCATTGTATCAAAACCATTGACGATGGAGTCTGTAAGACTCATTAGATTCAAACCTTGAACTTAGTGTGCGCAAGACTCTGAAAACTAAGTTGAGTCTACCGTAGGCTGAGATCACTCTCCCGCCTATGACCTAGAAAAATAAAAATTTTTTTTTGCAGTCAGCTGGATTAGATTAATTAGCTTAGTTGCAGCTATCTATTTGAACCATCTAAGCTAGTTTAGATAGTTCACTTTGGTATAATAAATATTAACTCACGTTTTACGGTGGCAAGTTACGAGTCTATAAAATACCAAATTATTAAATATTTACGTAATCAGTTCAAGACATAATTTGAAATCTCATGTTTCATATGTGCATGTATTTTTTTCAAAGTCGGATAATTGAATTCATTCATTGAACGATTCCGATCATATGTTTATATTTTAATATTGCCTTGTGTGAATAAAGCTTATATAAAAATAATTTTCTATATAGGATCATGTCATTATTCATGTCATTGTGACAACTGAAACAATCTCAACTCCTTTAGGAAAATACAATAAAAAATAAAAGTAGAATTATCGTGTCATAAAAATCAAAAACAAAAACAAAAATGGAAATTTTTCTACTGCAGAAATTCATAGTTAGAGTGTTTTTATGTTAATTACAGAAATAAAACGAACGAAAAAGAAGAGAGAGAGAGAAAGAAAGAAATTGATATGATGATGGGAACGATTGTGCACAACATCTAATATTTCTTTTTACTTTATAGGTGTTATACAATATAATAATTGAAATATTATGAATGATAGCGAAATATTTATCAGTGCATTTTTGGGATGTCATCCAAAAGACGCACAATATGCTGATAGTATCCTTCTTCTTTGTAATCAATATCATGATTCAAATGGTACAGTATGCAAATGGGTTAAACATATTTTAACAGCTGATTGTCATTTAAGTGGTTCATTTTATCATTTAACGGCAATATTTGTAGCTATTGGCACTATATTAAATTGTTTTTCATTATATTGTTTTATTAAAATAAATAAACGTAATTCTCAAAATATTTATTTAGCAGCAATATCTCTAGCTGATACAATTAATTTACATACAAATTTTTCGATACCATTATTAAGACATTTTTCAATAAATTTTGATCGATTATTTGAAAATTTAAAATGGTTATGTCTAATTCATAATTTTACAACAGAATTTTTTATCATATTTCCAACATGGTTAATTGTCTTATGTACACTCGAACGTTTAATTTGTATTGTTTGGCCATTGAAACGACATTATTTATGTACACAAAAACGTGCAAAAATTTATATATCATTATTGGCATTTATTTGTATTTTATTAAGTTCATATCGTCTTCTAAATGAAACGGGTATTGATCATGTTAGTATTTTTAGAGTATCAATGTGTCATGAGGCAAAAAATAAATTTATTTGGCTAAGAGATTTAAATTTAATTATATGGGCAATTATTCCCGAATGTTTAGCATTTATCATGAATTTAGTTATTATCTCGGTTATAAGACGTACTACAAACACATTAGAACAGTTTTATCCTAAAGCAAGAGTTAATCGATATAATCAAGCAACGAAAACTGTTCTCATAATATCATGTTTATTTCTTATATTTCATACGCCAACAGGTAGAATACTTGAACATGTTTTGGGCACTATTGAAATATAAAAAACTAATTGATTAATTTTTATCTGTTTTCAGGTATTGTCATTGGTTTTCATCTGTTTTTTGAAGAACATGTTTCAATAATTGGCATAACAGCTATTTTATTTTTGAGAAAATTAACTGTCATACTCTATGAAATAAGTTTATGCTGCAAATTTTTTGTCTATTATTCAACATTTCGTGATTTTAGGTGAGTATTATATAGTTTCATCTTTTTTTCTTCAGTTTGTCATGCTATTTATCTTGTTTATTTTAGAGAAATTTTAAAAAATTCTGTTTATCGTTTTCGTCAAAAAAATTCAACAAGATTAGGTAAACAATTTTTATATTCAACAAAACGTATGAATTATAGTTTCAAATCACCTACTCTTCCTAATAAAACTGAATTATTATTACAAAAAAATTATGATTTACACAACAAAGTACATAATTTTGTTGATGGTTCATTCCAATCCAATGTTAATAATAATTTAGTTCATTCAAAATGGAACAGTTCAACAAGTTCAAACCGTCAACGTTCTAACATGCGACAACAACAATATAGAGAAAATTAACGAGTTGTCGTTCACAATGGAAAAATTCAATCGACACAAATACCACCGTCAGCTGATCAAAAATGATTAACTAGATAATGGAATATGCCACTAACATCATTTTACATAGATCATTGACAAGGACGAACACTAGTAACTATTGAATGCACCACCCTATAAGAGGTGAAATTACAAAATAATAATAACAAAGCTTAGACGTCATATTTCGCCAGTAAGGTATTGTACAGAATTATACCTTGTAATTGAATATTACCACGTTTAACTAATAATTGAATTGATTCATTTACTATTTGTTTTTTATGGCCACAGTGTTCAGAAATTTGCGGAAGATACATACACATAGTAGAGGACTTAGCCAGCTAACTCTGCCATCGGAGGAAAATTCTGTTACTGGTCATCTATATTTTGTTTCTCTTATAATTTTCGAATAACGAGACATCTACAGTACTGAAATATCTCAAATTAAAAAGAAAAGTGTGTTGAAGACTTCGACATGTTCCCGCACTCTACATGATCTTTCATTCATCAAAACTCAAACTATGATAAAAATCCAAACGTCAACATTTGCAGATATAAGGTTGCAAAGTAGATGTTTGTATAAGTCTTCAGCACACTTTTCTTTTTAATTTGAGATATTTCAGAGCTGTGGGGTGTCTCGCTATTCGAAAATTATAAGAGAAAGAAAATGCAGAAAAAAACTGATAATGGAATTTCCTTCCGGTAGCAGAGTTAGCTGGCCAAGCCCTAGTATTTTTTAATAACCTAGAAAAAAGAAAACAGCTCCGCTGTTTTACATGTATTCTCTAGGAGAACACGCGCAAATGAACTATGATGCACTTTAAAATATTACATTTTAGGAGTTTGTTAATACATTTTTCGTATTCTTCTTGACATATGGATAATTCCATGCGATCAGGCGTTTTTATCCATAACCATACGTCGGAAAAAGTTGCTATCGAAAGTTTTTAACCTGGGTCCCGTTCACGTATTTTCTTTTAAAAACATTGTTTTGATACGCCTTTCGGATCAATGCCATATACTTTGCATACATCTGAGAATATATATATGCAATTAACTATTCCGAAGAAAAACATTTTTTACCTATTCCATTCCAAGGAAATTCATCTTAGAAGATCATGCAAGATCTGGCATTTTCCTATGAAATCTAGTGACAAGATCTTGTCATTGAAAGTGTATCTTATATTTATTTCTTATCATAAGATCATACGATTTCTTGTTATAAGATCTTGCAAGAAGCGATGACTCATTCTTACCAAATAAATTCTGTTATGATATATAGTATACTATATACAACATCATTCTTACGACAAAACAAATTTTTTTTATGATTTTTCAAAAACATCATGGCCAGTAAAAATGATATGGCGCTATTAACAACACTTGCCGCAAGAGCGCACTTGCAGAAAAACATCCTTAAATTCCTGCGCTACAAATCCTGACGTTTAAAAGAAAAATATAAATTGTTCTCTGAGAACTACAATTTTTTTAGTATAAAAATTTAGGTACACTTTTGACACAGTAATTTTGATACTGCGTGAATAAAACCGTTCTATGCAAAAAATGATCAAAATCTTAAACTTTATTTTGGCCTCATTTTGTGCAGAATTCAGTTTTCTATCTCGTACGATATAAAAAAAGTTGTGGTGGATTGCGAGTGGCGGGGCGTAAACATTGAGAAAAAATGAATTTTCAGCAGAGAGGTAGTCCACTTATTTTGTACTTTTCTCACTTCTTATACCTGTTCAATGGAAGATGGAGGTATATTTGAAATCAGCAGACAAAAATGAATCGAATCATATGTCACCAAATGTTTTCAGGAAAAAAATTTATTCGATGAATTTTTGCTTGTAGAGGACCCCAGCCAAAATTAATTAAATAAACGGTAACACACGAAACATATTATTAATACGATCACGATAACAACAGATCAATGTTGGAAATTGATTTGATCAATAAGCTAAAAATTATTAATACTATAAAGACAGCAAAAGACCGGAATCGTGCAAGAGAAAGAAGGTGCAATGAAGAGCTAAATCAGCTCCTGTCGAAAAGCATCTAGAATAAAGCAACAAACTGTACTTCAATAATTCTTTCCATCTCAAAGTAGACAAATGCTAAATCTTGCGTTTCCAGTAAAACAAGATCTTTCACGGATAACGTGATTATCAACCGATCAACAGATAAAAATTAGTCAACTAGTTTTTTGTATTCCAATAGTGCCCAAAACATGTTCAAGTACCCTACCTCTTGGCTTATGAAATATAAGAATTCATTTTAAATTTTCAAATAATCGATCAAACATTATTGAAAAATGTCGGCTATTTTTTAAAAAAATTTTAAAAATTTCTCTGAAGTAAATAAGATAAATAGCATGACAAATTGTTTAGCTAGTTTAGACGTAGTTGATTTATTTACATCGATAGGTTGAGATGACGCGATAACAATATTATCAGAAAAATTAAGAGAAGATAAAAGTTGGAAGTTTTATCTTCTTTAATTGCCATATTGTTATACGTTCGGTACATATTGTTGCACGCCCTGTGTTAGCATGAACTGAAGAACTCTTGTCGTATTTAAAAATTCGGCATTAAAGCGAATGAGTTTATATTCGTAATGTTAAATATCCTGTAACTCGGTCGTCGTTTCTCAGATCGTAGACACGTGGCCAACATCTCATTTTGTGGAAAATTGAAGGGACTATCCAATGATATGGTTGGAAAACTTCTGAAAGGAATTGTAAGGTCACTAGATTTTCTAGAAAACCGAGGTTTTCAGAAATCTGTCTCAAGACATAGAGGCCTAGCATAACGTTTCTTCATTAAAATATATAGTTCTCGACGCACTCTTTCATTTGATACCAACTTCAAGGTTCTCCGTTAAGAAATGTGGTCAGCAGACATTCTACAATTTAGGCCAAATCCGCCAGAAAATGCATTTTTCAGCTGCGAGGGTGAAATCGCTATAACTTTTTTTCTAACAAGGCTAGAGACTTGCGGTTTTCATGACGGTTTCCATGACGTCAAAGGTCGATGTAAATGGTGCTAGGTTTTATATGGATCGACCCTGTTCGCCGATGCCGAAAACATCACTCTGCAGTAGTAATATCCGAAAAGATGAGCGTTCGCACTGCTAACTAGAAATGAGTTACCCACCATTTTGTCGAGTTTTGACAGAGCTTTCTTTCGATATATAATGTAGACCGCAACCTGGGTTCTCTCACGGTGAAAAAGTTGAAAAGTTGAAAGACTATCGTGGACTATGCTGAAAAGGTCATTTTTAACAGTAATATTCCCAAGTGTAGCAATAGTTAGTTTTGTTCGCCGTTTAAAGCTGCATTGAACGGTATATAAGACTTTCCGTCAAACTTGTTGTATTCTGAGAAAAGTACGAAAAACACATCGGAATGGGTTCGCGGAGCTATTGGTCAACGCTGATCGTTTTTTTCACAGATATGAGGTCCGAAGGGAACCCAAGGATCTAGAACTCCATAAAATCATATGCTCTTTCATTCTAGATGCCTTTCGAGAAGATCCAAAATGGGGTCGATTCGCCTTCTTATTGCACCCGGTCCTTTTCTCTTTGCTAGTTCCGGAAGCACTTCAGACTCAATTGAAAACCGTTACGACGTGACACTTTTTTTCGGATAATCTTTAGTCATTCTGAAACAATAAACCTGCATGAAAAAGCTCGATTTTCATAGGCAACTGAGTTTTGGTTATGTTTTATCGATCCACATGAAAATAAAGTTCCTAAGACTGCCTGAGACATTTAAAACTGTACAAGAACCTCAAAACTAGAAAACCTAATGAAATTCGATATTAGTGTCAGAAGCTTAGAAAAAATATGTCAGTTTGTAGAGACTTAAGTTGTCTATCGAATGCTGCATTTTTAAAGTTTTTTAGAAACAGTGTCTAGATGAGGAAATCCAGATTGCAGTTTTCCGAAAGCGTAAAACTGAGTATTTGGGCTCAAATTCAACTTCTTTTTAAAAAATATTGCGAGATTCGTAATTAGCATGAGAAACTGCGTCTAGTGATGTGTTCATATTCGTCCTTAGATGAAATTGTTTTTTCAAAAACGTAATCAGTGAAGTGTCGCGTTACGTGGACAAGCCGCGCAGTTGAAAAAATAAATTCTACTGCGAGAAGGAAGTTGCCAGACAATATATATTTTACATGAACAAAAAAGTTTATTGAGTCCTCTACTAAACGATATTATTTGAAATAGAACACACCTGCTCTGTGGAATATTAGGACAAAAACTTGCTTTCGACTTGTAAACGCCAAATTGAGTTTTTAGTCAAACAGTCTTCTGTTAACGATTTGTTTTACTGATGATACATAGATCACACGGAAAGAAAAAGATGAAGACATAAAAACGATATAGATATGTGAGATAAAGAAAAGGCACTAAATGGTTGAGCTCTAATATAACTTAGTTCGAGCCACTGTATATCCTTTGTTTTATAAGTTAGACGTCCTACCATAGTTAAATCTGGGCTATGCAAGGTGACAAAACAGTGTTTGGGAAATATCGCTTCATAGTAGTATCTTCAGCACATAGTAGTATGAATTATAAAACTTTTAATGGGTGGGCTGAGCCCACCCGGTAGCTACGCCACTATTTTAAACTCAACACACTTCGAGACTTGTGAGCGACAGATGACTTCTTTTTTTATTTTTCTAAAATTTTCAAAAAGTCTTCTCGGTATAAGTGCTGATTGTAATTTAGCTTTCTCTTTACAAACCGCAAAAACTTGGAAAAATCACCCATTTTTAGCGATCTGATGCTGATTTCTGACCGGCCGATCCGATTCCCATTTTTTCAATCGGTTACAACTCTATTTCAGACCTTTACACATCCTCAACTCCTCACTCAAATCATTCCATTGTTTGATGGACCGTACGGAGAAAAAGTACTGAATCGTTCAATAATTTTTACCACGGGCGCGTTTCTTTCTTTGAAACTGATCTCTATCC